AAAGTTCTTTATGGAACCATTTAGACAAAAAGGTTCTTCTATGGCATCGTGAAGCACCTTTATTTTTAAGAGTGTGCCTTGTCTCCGACCGTGTGTGTATTTATTTCCTGGACATGGGATTAACTGTAAAAAACAGGTATAACCCGGGATAACGGGTCTATCGGCTATACGGAACCCCAACTGACAGGATTGTTTTTCTTCTTTTTATTTTTATATGGTATAAAAAATTATGTCCGCATATTTTAGTAGGCCTATAACTTTTATACTCTGTCACGTATAGCACAGAGAGTGAGAACGAAAAATTATATTTGATTCATTAACTAATTTTTGACAGACCTATCTAACTATCTTGACTAGACTATCAGAGGAAAAAATAGAGACAATAGTTATACCCCATTTTTTTCATCAAGAACAAACAAAATTGTAATTAGCAGAGTTTTATTTCTAAAACGAATCAAACTAATAAAAAATAAACAGCTTACATACCAAACCCTTTCATTCAAAACTACGCCATCGTTGCTTAAATAAAGTTTTAATACACTACTAGTTTAAAATCCCAGTATAATATAATTTGTGTAAGCCTATGAAACACACATTAGGCCTATATCTCGTAATAATTACAGTTTAATTTACATTAAATACCAGCTTCAATGACAGCCCCACTTTGCGCATGCGCATTAAAATCCATCTGGATTGGATCTGATCCAGCTATGTCATCGTGCTACAGGCTGCAGCGAGGACCTCTTGGAATACAATCAAATGGCTTTCCCAACTCATTTTTGCATGTGCGCGGCACATTATTTCTTCTGCACGGCCGCGGTGGAAGAAGTGTGTGGCCGCGAGCACGCGCACGCAGCTTAGAGGGAACATTGGATACAATGCCATTTATATATTTTCAAATGAACATGCACTGAACACTGGACACCACTATCAACAGCGCTGCATGACAAAGATAATGTTTCATCACTTGGTTTCTATTTTATTTGCTTTGTGCTTGGTAGCACAAAACACAATACTTGTCTAGGACAACCACAACAAAAGCTTAAAATTGAGTCACAGTGGCAGCTGGCAACATAAATTTAAACAGGAATCAGAATCGAGGGAAACATCATATTACAATCTTGAATGCTGACAAAAAACAATATAAATCTCATCACCTGTTTATTTAAATACAAAGTTATGCCCTCTTCGTTACTTTATTTCCTTAAAACAATTTTTGGGTTCTGTTTTTCCTCTTTGGTATGAGTGTTGTACTGTAGCTAACTTTATCCTACCTCTGCAATAATCCACACCCACCTGTAGATGCAGGCTTTACCTCCACATCCATTTATGTTAGCACAATAATTTCCTGTTCTCTATATTATCCTCCAGGGCACAATAACAGCAAGGGAAGAACAGAGGTACATTTGGACACAGTATGGAGAGATCTCATCATCTCCAGCTCACCTTTTCTTTCGTGTGACAATGAGGACATCATTGAAGAGGAAGAAATAGACCTGCTGGCGAGACTTCCTTTTGGAAAAGATGCCATTTTCCTCTACAAAAGCTGTTAGCTCACCACGCTTCACCATCCAGCGGGAGGACGACACCAGTGGGAACGGCTGCAGAGAGAAAGTGTGAAAGGAGAAAATGTGAACCAGACAGAATCATTAATGTTTCAATGCAACACGACCGACATGAACAAAGTTAACAAGACCTAATTTTTAAAACAAATCATGGACATTTAGAACAGTGAAATAAATAGTTAGATAGGGACTATTTATTTCAGTCATTTTTACCTTTAAACAATAAAATAAATCAGCCTGCTTTAAAAAAAAATCTGTCTCAAGATCCCTGTGTTCAGTTTCATTGCTTTAGTTTTGGTCCATATAGGAGTTTTTAAAGCTAAAAATGGTAAACAATACCCATACTTAGTTGTTTTTCCAATGTGTTGTTGTCAAAATATTAAAATGTATATGATGTAATGTTAATCAAAATGTTACAATTTCTTGTTGTTTTCATAATCGATCATTGATGACAATTTTTCTTCACAAAGCAATTTGTTCTTTTAACCTCATTCTAATGTTGATTAGCAGCCATGTGCCTACATTAATTTGCATAAAACAGGGCCAAACCATTTCCATATAAAGGGTTTTCGCAAAGCCTTTTGTTACTCTCAGCAAACATACTACACCCTCACATAGGACACATGAGAAGATGTCCAGAAAGATCCTAGAGCAATGGCAAGTGTGCTGTCTTCAAAGCAAGTTCGAACACAACAAACATCTTTTAAAAATGGCATGATACTGAATTTGTGTTTTCTTATCTATTGTGATGTATAAACAAGTAAAATGTTAATACATTCGAAGAAAAATGTAGGGCACAACTTGATTTTGTTCATCGGGAAGTGAAGTGTTTGTGAAAATGCTTTCATGCAGATATCACATGGTTAGTAAATGAGATCCACTGACTGATATCTATGGAAGCCTGGTAATTTTTAGATAAAGTTTAAAATAAGCAATAAAGTCACACTGTGACACATACTGTTGCAACAGCTAGAAATGAAGTCACAAAGAACTTTGAGATCTACTGACCTTCTAACAGCTGGACTCAGCAAAGTCTTGTGATTATATGCAGAACCCTTTAGACATCTGCTCGTACCAAATGTGCCAGCAGAACTTTCCCACACTGCTCAAGCAGCAGGTTGTAAATATGGCTGCATTAGTGAGTGTGTCCAATGCATCACTGTGCACATGCAAAGTAAATTTAAACTGCACATGCACAACATGTTTGCGAATAACGTAGTGAAAAATATGTCACGATGAACAGAAGACCCACAGCGAGTGAGCAGCATGTGTGTATCAGGTCAGAATGTGCGAACAAGTTTTACAAGTAAAATAAACAGCAGCAAAAACCCACAAGTTTACTTGCTACTTGTGGTACAAGGTACTACATGAAGGTGAAGGCGTGTGAATCCCATGATTAAAAGGCTGACAGTCTAAACTCTTGCTAATCTCTGTGAGATAAAAAAGAGCATATAGTTCACATTTAACCAGATCCAGATCCTTTCACTCTTTAACAAGTTGGATTAACCTCTGCAATAACTAGGATTTGTGCAACTCTACATAGAGAATCTGAGAAGGCCCTCAGCTGTGACACAGACATTACCACAAACCACTTTGTGTTTACAGTAAGGAAACAAAAAGGATACACATGCTTCATATGATTAAGGACATATTTCCTCTCCACTTAAGACAGTCTGCATCTGCAAAACTGTACATGTAACTCTTGTGTAGTGATCTGCATTTCTCTGCAGCTGAGTTTTAGTTAATGTTCCTCATCAGCTGATACTACAGACATAACGTCAGACAGCACAGATAGGAGGAAGATAGTGACATAACTGCTCTATGGGAGATGTCATACACCAGCATAAATCTCTATAGGACTGGAAATCAAAACTTTAGTTACAATGAGCAAGTTACATGTTGCTCAATTGCACTAGCCAGGCAGAATTTAAAATTCGTGATTTAACCTATTTAAAATAATCTGAAATCATAAGTTTTGTGTGAAGGTGAAAAAGTTTAAAAAGCAAAATGTTCTTATACCATCCCTGATTCTAACACAACCCCACTGCTTTGGGAGTAATTTTGTGGCTTTCAGAGCAAAGCTGCTGCTCTCAAAGCTGCTTTTCCGCTGTCTCCTTTCACGTTCATAATTCAATTGCAAGAGCTTATTTTGCAATATTAGATCAAAAGATCAGAAAAGGCCCATACATACACCCACTCATAGACCCTCTCCTTAAAGAAATAATGAAAGTGGTCGAAAGTGGACTAAAGAGATGGATTAAAAAAGCAGGTGTAAAAAGGAATGTGTCTCCATCGTTTAATTGTGAACTGATCTACCAAAACGCATCTTAATGGCAGGTGTAAACAGGGCCTTAGATCAAAAACGTAGACTCAACCAAAGCAGAAGTTGGGTGTAGTTTGATTGGACAGACAGAGAATGTTTGAAACTTGTTTAAAAACTATACTTGGAGCAGAAACTCATTCAGAGGACCGCTTTGTTGTAATAACTTTCTTTTTTATAGGTACTTTCATTAATAAATCATTAGTATATAGCCCAGTTTTAGTATATAGTATGGACCAGTATGTGCTTTCTTAAAAATATTAAAAGAATCATTAAGGCAGTGGAATTATTAAGCACAATCGTTAAATTCCTTTCACGTTGGTTTTATTCTCTTACCTTAATTTTAAACTCCAACTGGGAATTGATGGTGTACATCATTTCTGTTCTCTCCATTGTACGAGCACCCTCATTACATTTCCTCACAAGCTGCATATACAGACATACAGAAAAAAAGGTGATTATTAACTAAGGCTTTCTCAGGCAAACACTAGAAAAACCTGCAGTGGTAATTCCCAGCATTTCTCACCTTGCTGACAACATGCAGGGCTTTTTTACATGCCTCATAAGGGGCCGAATCTTTGGGCGTCTTCTGGCATATGGTCTACAAGACAAAAACATTTTTAATCAAAATGATCTTTGAACTGTTGGTGCTTGAGTACACAGTTTAATATGCTGTAAATCTAAAATAGACTTGCATCAGAACTTGTTTCCTGTTTGTACAATAGTTTTTAGTTTATTGTTCCTGAAGCTTTTCGAACACTTTATCTCTAATGGAGTGCTCTCAAACGTTTTTCTCACGCTTGTCTGATATTTCCCAGCTAGAGTTTTACTTGTTTCTGAGCTGTGGGAAGAAAGAGAGAAAGAAGGAAAGAAAACCAATCCCAAAATTCTCATGCTCAGAGTCAGCCAGCCAAGCTCTACTGTCCTAAACTAGGAAACCCACTACCAAGCTCAGGGGACCCACAAAGTAACAAAGAGATGGAAAGATGAGAGGGTGAGAAAGCAAGAAAAGGTCTGCAGGAAGAAGGGAAGGATGGCGATAAATGAAAACAAGAGTTGTGAGGATAGGGACTATGGAGAAGTTTCTAGGTCATCTTTAATGCAGCTTACTCCCTCATTTCATTTTACAAACACAATTCTCTGGAGAAGGAAAAGACGATAGAGAGGAAATAACACCAACCCTTTTAAACCATCTTTTAAATATAATAAAAGAGCCTCATACCAACTCAATCCCTTTACCTTATGCTGAAATACTGTAGAAAGGTCTCAAGCAATAATAAATAAATCTAAACAGAATTGTTACTGTTAAACAGAAAGGCCCTGAAAGCTAAAGCTTTACTTCAATGAAATGGAAAGGAGAGAAGAGAGTGTAATTTTGAGACGAAAGTATGAGAAGTAGAGAAAGAAAAACAAGTACCACCAGGAGACTTTAATTGGTTTAATTTGATGTCTTATGTAACAGTGAACATCCTCCAGGTCAAATTAACCACATAATCAAAGCATAAGATGCATGTCAGAAGACTGAAAATGCAGTTACAAGAGAGCTAGATGTTTATGTCGGTGTTAGACATGTTAGCAGAGGTCAGGCAAGGGGAAGTCGAGGGATAATGTCACTCACATCCATCAACAGGGGCAGCCGTGTGACTCTCTGCATGGGAAGGATGAGGAAGGAGATCATGGGAAGGTTTCGGCAGTCTGGGTGGGCCTCGATCCGTGTCAATAACTCCTTAAAGGACGGGCTTTTATTTCTGAAGGGATAAATGGACTGTTAAACTAGTGATTGGCCGCAGAGTGTCATGTGATCCCTATGATATAAAAAAAAAACTATATCACTATGCAACAAATAAAAAGGTGCACCTTCATTTCTGGTAATTGCAATTTTATTCCTCATAATTGCGACTTTATATTTTGCAGTTTGACTTTATTTTTGCTAATCGTAACTTTGAGACATCACAAATAGGAAGGTGATTTTAAGTCACACCTCTATCACATGACTTTTTTAACTTACAATATATCTGTGACTTGACATCTGGGACTTTGTTTCACTTAATAGTGATTATATCACACAACCTCAACTTTGTTTCTCACAGTTTTACTTTATATCGCACAGCTGTGACTCTTTCTCTTAGGGGTCATGAATTGAGATATCAAATTTCCCTTGATCGTTTAAGAGCTCATTGTACTATAAAAACAGAGCTCAAAACTTCCTTGTTAGTCCAAAAAACAGCTTTTATTGAAACCAAGCTCAGAAAAACAACAACTCGTTTCAGATTTTGTCTCTCTATGAAGTAACAGTGCAACGAAAGACCACCTCTGCATGCCTACTTCTACATCATCACGTCTTTGGCCCCTGCTCACGGTGCGTTAGTCGGATGAGAAGGAGAGAAGAGCAATACAGGATCACTGGACTTAAAATATCATTACCAATACCTTCCAAAGCATTTTAATTCTAGGAAAGTGGTTATTTATTTTCAACTATGTGGATGTCTCAGTAGAGCATTATTTGTTTGTTCAATACATTTCACTGAGGATTCCTTGGACCTTACAGTAATACCACAACATTTAAGTAACCATGTTGCCTAATCTGCGATCAGTGATTTCTGATATGTAATGATTTGTGTACAGATGTTCTTTGTCTCAATCATTTATTGCTGTTTATGTGTCAGTAAATCAAGCCAGTGACTTACTAGACATTGTTTCTTTTAGTGGCATGAAAATAATCGGTTACTTAAATTGTGATTAAATTATATACATAAAGCAGTCAATGAATGCTCCCCTTTATAATCACGGGAGTCACACAGTGTGAGTTTATTATCAATGACGCAGTCTACACTGCACAATGAATCTCTTATTTACATCACGTTTGCACTGTTAGTTATGATGAAAGCATTTGTGAGTGCAAAACTCGAGTTACAATGACGAGCACTGCATTCATGTGTTCAACAGTCTGTCATCATCTGCTTCAATGAAATTTTCATGCGACAGGAGTAGATCTATATATAATGCTATAATCAACACTTTTCACGATGAGTTAATCTCAACAGTTGTAATGGTAAAAACGTAGTAAAAGTTTTCGAAAGAGCTCCACATGTAATACTTCAATTTCAAAATCTCTTATACGTACACCTATATATTTCACAATTGTGACCATATGGCATCTCACTACGTGATTATATTTCTTGCAACCGTGACATTGTTTCTTGTAATTTGAACTTAGTATCTCTCAGTGTGATCTTGCAAATAACACTTCCATTTCTCGCAATGTGACTTTTTAACTTTATCTCTTATTTAATATAATTTTTCCCCATTTTAAACAATCTCACAACTACCCTTTTTATTTTTACTCTGAGGCAGAAAAAGGCTTCCATAGAAATCTGATCTCTGTACAGAAAAAGCTTCATATCTTCAGGGCTAAATGATAAAAGTCAGACATGACTTTCAGTTGAAGCAGTGACAGTCTGCGCTGTACTTACAGCAGCCTTTGCAGGGTTCTTTGCTGGTACACTTCATTTGAGCAGTATGTCACATAGGGGTCAAAGTTTGACTGGGCGTGCCTTCTAACGATGTCACTTATGTCACTGATTACAATGTTTTGCTGGTGCCGATCCTCAAGTTCCTTGAAGAACCTGAAGGGAGAGAGGGGAGGAAAACAATTACATGAAAGCAATAACATACATGACATGCCTCACATAACATCAACACGAGTCAAAGCTGATGCAGGGAGCACCCTGTTTTAGTCGTTACACGTGCACAAACACTCAGACACATACACATCCAGCACAGACACATATGCAACACAAAGCCAGGAAGGTGTTTTAACGCCTCCTTTCCCAGCCTATGATCACATCAGAGAACAGGATGTCCCAAAGCCCCTCAAATGACCAACCAGGGATGGCAGAATGAAAATCATACACACATGCTCTTCCTGACAGGACACACACTTCACAACCAGTCGCAGAGTATTCACGATTTTCCAGTAATCCAGAGGATGCAGCTCAGAGCCATCTGTGCTGGAACCCAGTGTGACCTCTGGTTCACAATCTCACAATAGACCAGAGAAAGACACAACCTGAATGCTAATTCTGGAAGTGATGTCAGTCAGGTTGTTAGCACAAGGGCCGTGACCTCAGGACCTTCCTACAGGTGTTTGGAGCCCTATCAGCTTTACAGGGACAAGAATTAAACGATGCAGTCCAAATGAACAGGACTTAATATAAATTTGTACAAAGGGCAAATATTAAACAAATTCAGCAGCAAAATCAACGTTTTTGCAAGAAACAAACATATATTTCTGTTCTTTGGGGTTTAAACAGTTACTGAAAGCAAATTTCAGCTGCTGTGTCAGTGTGTATATTTTTGTGTGGCAAAATCAAGTTTTGTTTTCACTTACAAAAGACTCTGTCCACAGCAATACAAGGAACCACAGCGGAGGAATGCAAGTTATCTGAGCAATCCACCACACAATCCAATCCACACGCACACTCACACGGACACATATGAAGCAGGGCATTTGCTATGCACTTTTGCTTTGGTGCAGAATTAAGACAACTGTGCATGTTCAACCATGTGTCTGTCATTTATAGCAGGCCCATTGTCTATTCAAAGAAGACTCATTTGTCATTTTTTCAGTTCAGGAATCATGGAGGGCCAGAATGAAAGTTCTGTTTTGTGCACTATATATTCAGCCAGATTGAGGGACACCGTCAATGACATCAATGTCATATCAACTCTTCCTTCAAAAGAACTAACTCTTGTATGTCCTTGTTTTTAGGTATGCATCAATGTTTGTTTGTAAATGAGTATTTGTGTTTGTTTATTTGAAACACTACACTTGATGATGCTTATTATGCCAGTAAAAGAGGAAAGCAATAACAACACAGTTCAATGTCTGTCTGTGCTTTGCTGGGCCTAATTTATACTTAATCAACATCATACATCTAAATAATAAAGACTCCATGCTTTTTAGGATGTAAGCGTCAGATTTATTGGAGTGTTAAAAAAAATTCAGTTCTTCAGAAGCACAGCTTAAGTTAAATGAGCCTCATCGTGAAACATCCCGCCAAACCAGTACTTCAGAAGAAAACATCAACACTGACTAGAAAACATTCAGGCGGGGAGTTGCTAATGTGTCTGAGAAATGGTAAGTGGGGAGATGATTTCATTTTACAACCTTCAAGGCAGTTATGGACAGAGAAAGAGACAAATTCATTTAGTGAGCAAAACTGATTAACCCGAGGTTGCAAGTGTCGATGGGTAATTCTCAGAAAACTGTGTACTACCCCCCTCCCCTCCATTTCAAACGTTATGGTTGAACATTCAAGAAATCATATCTTCCTACCTTAGGCCTAAGGGCTTTAACCATTATATTCCTATATGTGAATGAATGAATGAGGCATTTATATAGCACTTATTGTGTGTTGCTGTACACCCAAAGCGCTTTACAATCATATGAGGGGGTCTTCTCCTCAACCAGCACCAGTGTGCAGCATCCACCTGGATGATGCGATGGCAGCCACAGTACAACGGCGCCAGTGCACACCAGCTACAGGTGGAGAGGAGAGAGAGTGATAGAGGCAATTCAGTGGATGGGGATTATTAGGAGACCATGATTGACAATCATGACACAATCAACCAAAAATTAGACAGCTTGGTTGGGAAGATGGCGCCTGTGCATTCGGCATGCCGTCTGTTGCTCTCGTGTTTGCTTGTCTGGTTGTCTGCTCTGTCTTTAAACTGCTACACGCTTTTAATCTACAACCGTCAATCACTCTTGGACATCCGCAACTCAATTGCGGACACATTCACCAACTCTTACACTTTGGATGTGGACTGCTCCTTTGGTAATAGGAATGAGTCGTTCCAGGCGGCTATCCCGGATTGTATCCGCCGGTGGCCCCTCGGCATCCTGCGGAGAAAGCGAAGGAGGAAACGAGACAAACGCGGAGGATACATCGTGAAGCTTAAAGCTCATCTGCGGGCTGGCTTTCTCCCGGATCCTTCCCACGGGTCGTTTTGCGGTGGCTTGGCTGCCTGGCGCCCGCTGGATTTGGCCTACCGGTGGCTTCGTCCTGTCTACTAAATGACTTCTACTCATCTCATAACTTGGATTTTATGTTTATCACGGAATCCTGGATAAAGGTTGGTGATCTAACTCCTTTTTCTGCTCTGATCCCTGCTGACTGTACATTTTTTAACTCTCCTCATCCGAGTGGACGTGGGGGTGAGATAGTAACAATTTTAAAGAACCGGTTTGTCAGAGAATAGACTTTAAAATTCTCCTCTTTGTATATAAATCCCTACATAACCAAGCTCCTGTCTATCTATCTGACCTTCTTTACTTCTATTCTCCGTCTAGAAGCCTTCAATCCTGTGACCAGGCCTTGTTGGTGGTCCCTCACGTTAGGCTTACGCGTAGAGGGGAGCGTGCATTTGCGGTGGCAGGGCCACGACTCTGGAATACCCTACCTTTAGAGATTAGAATGGCCCCTTCTTTGTCTGTTTTTAAGTCCTTGCTAAAAACTTATTTGTTTTCCTTAATGTATTGACTATTGTAATATGGTCATTTTTAAACGTGCGGTTGGTAAAATTGTTGCTCTTCTGGAAAGCACTTTGGTCAGACTGGTGGCTGTTGTATATGTGCTCTACAAATAAAATGAACTTGAACTTGAACTTGACAGGGGCCAGTGGAGGGAATTTGGCCAGGACACCGGGGATACCCCCTACTCTTTACGAGAAGAGCCATGGGATTTTTAATGACCACAGAGAGTCAGGACCTCGGTTTAACGTCTCATCCGAAGGATGGTGCTTTTTGACAATATAGTGTCCCCATCACTACACTGGGGCATTGGGACTTAACACAGACTGCAGGGTGAGCACTCCCTACTGGCCTCACTAACACCTCTTCCAGCAGCAACGTTTTCCCATGTGGTCTCCCATCCAGGTACTGACCAAGCTCAAGTCAACCCAGCTTAGCTTTAGTGAGCAACCAGTCTTCGGCTATAGGGTGATATGGCTTTTGATTTATTTATTTATTACCCCATTGGCTGCTATTTTTCCTCATTTTAAGCATAAACTCACTTAACTTTCATAGAGTTAAAAAAAAAAGAAGACTTATCTTACATTATTTTGGTTTTCAAATAAAACACCTCTTGATTTACGAATGATTTGTACTGGAAAACAAGACAAAAATACTGATGTGGCAGAGATTTTATACCACTGATAAACGGAGGTCTCCCATCCAGGTACTGACCAGGCTCAACCCTGCTTAGCTTCAGTGGGCAACCAGTCTTGGGCTGCATGATGATATGGCTGTGGCGATAATGTGGTAACAATAATTATTTATAATTACTAACCTTACATCACTACAGTAATTCAACTCATAACAGAAAACAAAACTCCTAATTCTGAGTAAATGTTGTTAGTATTGCTTAGTTTCGGCTAGGGCTGTGCAAAAATCGAATGAGCATCTCATCAGTAAAGCCGCTCCTGTGATTAGTAGTAAATCTCCAGCACGTGCTTTCAGATGGAGCGGCATTTACTACAGGCAGGCGATTCATTGCCGATTTTGAACGCGATTTTGTGTAGCTTGTCAGTGAACTATGGCTCTGTGTAGTAAATGGCGCTCCATCTGAAAGCACGTGCTGGAGATTTACTACTAATCACAGGAGCGGCTTTACTGATGAGATGCGCATGAAAATCGCATTCGATTTTTTGCACAGCCCTAGTTTCGGCATGACAAATCACACATTATTACTGACAAAAATTTATTTATGTTGCACAGCAATAACACAACACAACACTTTAACAGTACATTCAATATTTTGAGGTTGAGTGTCAGGCAAATTAGCTGATATTTTGAAAGAAAATGTACATATGATAGACATGACAATACATGATAGTTACTAGAAAGTGGTTAATTCAATAGGCCTACCTGAGCGAGACATTAGCTATCAACACAGTGTTATTGCATCCTCTAGGACAGGGGTTTTCAAACTGTGGGTCGCAGAGTGGAACAAGTTGGGTCGCACAAAGTCACTTGGCTGCAGCTAAATTTGCGTTTCAATGACACACACACTCACACAGTTCAGTCTAGGGCTGCACGATATAGCCTACCAACATTAATTACGAATTGCAATATCCTTAGTGCGATTTTGGAATCGCAATTAAGTCCGCGATTTAAAACATGTTTTGAAGCGCGGGCGACTCATGAGTTGTAATAACAGTGAGGGTCTCGGAGCAATGTCATTATTAAAAGGCTCAATCGGTCCGCAATATTAATGAGAAAAAACTCGCTCACTTCAATGCGCTGTATTCTGTATGAGATTGCATACAGCGGAAAATTCAAATGTTACGAAAACGGTTTCAGGTAGGCTATGTTCATTCATTTCTATTGTCTGTTTGAACTCGGCACTGTTTTCGTTCAGGAAACGGTCTGTAAAAAGCATTTCACATGTACGGGGTGAGCAGGGCACAAACGCAGGGTTAATTGTAACACTACAAGATTTAAACATTTCCACATAACAAAATTTACAAAATTTCACAATATTTCCTTGACATATCATCTCTATATAGAGAAAAAATGTGCCAAAGTTCAAAAATCTTTTGAAGATATTGCTTAACATTTATT